ACAAAATTATATAACTTTATACTTAACGAAATCCAATTCTTGTCGTAAAATGCCGGTCAATATAAATTCCGTTGACTGCACTGTAACAGATTTTGGAGCTTTCAGGAGGAACTTTTTGGCGTTTTCTAAATCTTCCTCGCGAGAAATGATGACTGCCTTTTGTGGCCATGACAGTGGTGAACGTACTAAAGGTTTACCACCGCACGAACTAATTATGCCTGTTAAATTCATTTTTATCATAAGTATTTCATTAGGTCTGATAATGACTGTCAGTTAACACACATCAACGATGTTTTCAGACATACTTTTCAATTCCGGTAACGGTGGTGGAGCGACATTAGGTGTTAGCACTACGGTGTATCCATCCAAAAGCTTCTGTTTTCTTGCTTTTTCCAAACTCCCTCTTAGTTTGAAACCAAACTTAGCTTCTGCAGCTGGATCTTTCAATATATAATTAGCCAATTCTGTAAAATGTCCTGCTTTCTCACTCTCAACCAACCAATCAACTGAGACTATTGGTATGGCTTGTGCTAATGCACACAGAAACTTAACAGTTCTTCGAACCTTATCCGTGACCAAAACACTGCATTTTGTGGGATCCTCAACTTGAGATGATCCTGTAAAAATGTACAATTATAGTACAGTTATATTACAATTCTACATGGTGATGGAAAGGCAGAATTTTTGATAAATAAGAAACTTTCCGAACATTTCATTCTTTTTTAGAATATTTTTAATCTACTGAAATTGTTGATATAGGACAATTTTATTTTACTACAGTTTTGCGACACGTGAAAATAAATATTATATTTTGCATAAAAATCTGCAGTTCAGCGATGAGATACGTACCCAATTTTGTTAGGAACTTGTTGTAATCATTGGTAATACCAGTGAATAAAACTTTATGTTTTATTTTATACGGTGACGATGTTGTGAATGACGTAGACAAACTCCTTCGTGCTCTTGTTGGTGTTGAAAGGACTGACGTATCTATACTGGAATTTATTTCCGAAGATGTTTCGTTTATAATATCTGTGTTTTTCTTTTTTTCGGTTTCAAGTTTCTGTGTTTTTGCTTTCCTTCCCTTTTTCTTTGGTACGTTACCTTCTTTACTTACAGTTTTATTTACAATACTTTTATTAACATTTGCATCTGTAACTTCTTCTAAAGAAGAGTCTATAATTGAGTGCTGAAGATCACGAATTGATTGGGATGATCGCTTATTACCTCTCCTTCCTCGTTTAGTTGATTCATTTACTACAGAGTTATCAGTGCTTGCAGCATTTTTGGATACTTTAGCTCGCTTAGGTTTGGAAGTGGGCACTTCAAAGCATGCGTTATCTGTCTCATAAATCTCTGAAGAAGTATTTTCTATGATATCTTCACTAGAATGAGCGTTCGTGTATCCACGTTTTCTAGTACCTCTTGTTTTAATATTGATTGTATTTTCATTTGTATTTTTCGGATTTTTTTTATTTAAACTGATACTTTGCTCTTGGAGCGAAGCATTCATAATCATTTCTACTTCCTGTGATTCTTCTCCTACGTCAGAAGTGATATCCTCTACAATAAGTTGCCGTTTCTTTGTTGCTTTTCTAGTATTACTTCTTCTTGTGACGGGTTTATCATTCTCTGCGTTAGATGAATTGTTTATACCACTACGGTTGTTAACAGATGTTCGTTTATTCTGCATTGTTTCATTTTGGTTACTTTCAGTTATTGATTTTGCAGAGGGACTGGGAGATGATCGTGGCGTTGGAGTACTTGAAGATAATTTCGTAATTTTAATTATCAACTGTTTAGAACTTATGCTTTCTTGGCTGCTGTTAAATGACTGTTGCGAGTTCTCTGGATTTTCCATATTCACTGCTGAATTTCTTTTATTTATATAATCAAGAATATTTGCAGAATTACTCCTGTTAGCGGCCACACTTCTAGCATCACCTTTCCTCTTTCTGGTTCCCGCAGACGTACTTTCATTAATATCTCCCTTTCGTTTTTTCGCCTTATTGCTTTCAGTTTCATCCGTTGCACTGAGTGATCTCTTAACAGCACGAGATGCTCTTAAAGTGGTTTTTTTCGAGGACTCAGTTGCTTCCTTTGCAATCGGAGCCTCTTTTCCAACCTGAAAAACAGATGAACAATCAACATTTTCTTTGAGAGAAAGACGAGTCCTTCCGTTATCTTGAATGGAAAGACCGTCACGTTCTTGCGAAGTAATGGGAAGTTTAGATTTTCTTTGTAGTGATTCACTTTCTTTAGGTTTACGTAAAGATGTCCTTATCGTTGGTGTGATTTCATTTATTTTGACCTTATCACTTTCATATAACGTCATTGGAACTCTGGCCACATTAAACTCGTCAGAAGTATTTGAAATTGTTGCAGACTTTGATTTGCTAACATTAGAAGATTCATCAACTTTTGAGTTTTTACGTGCGAGTGACTTTCGTGTTGACCTTTTGGGTGCTTCTTTCTGTTTAGTTTCAGTTTTTCGCGAACCTTGTTTGGATTTCAAACGACTGGTGTATAATCTAAATTCAGTTGATGTTGACGATGTTGGACTTGCTGGATTTGATAATGTTCCTGAAATTCGAACCTCAGGTAAACCTGCCATAATATCTTCTTCATCTGACTCCAATGTTGTAATTGTATCTTGAGGTTGTCGTGAATTAACTATTGAAGCAGATGTTTGATCATCTTTCTTATATTCCTTTGAAACATCATTACTGCTCGACATGTTTGTTTTTTGTAAAATCCTTTCAGATTCTTGCGCATCCTTAGTATCATATGAGTTTGGAAATCTCGTCCTTAGTAACCTTTTGGGTGAAGATGTCAATGAGATATTAGATGTACTGTTTTTGTCATTCGTGGTATTATTATTTATTAATTTTGTTCCAAGTTCATTTTTATTATCAGATATGTTTTCACTAGGGATACCAAGATCTTGAGAATCCTTCAAAACATTACTTTTTCTTGTTGAAGTAAGATTACTGAAATAATTTTGTGAATCATTGTCAGAAGTAGCTTTCTTTAAACTAAACCGGCTTGATTTTCTATTTGATAGCACAGGTGATTTTGAATTTGTTGCAGGTTTACTACTTTTTGTCTCCTTGGGAGATTTCCTATTTTTATTGTTTTCCGGTGGGTTTTTATCGATATTTTTGTCGGTAGGTTTGTCATCACTCTGTGATAATTGCAATATATCTGTAAGAATTTGAGTCGATATTTGAGGTTGATCTTCGATGTCCTCATTGACATCATCAAACATTTCGTTTAAATTTCTTTCCAATGTATCATTCAAATTTACTTTATTAGATGTTTTTGATTTTCTTTTCTTGGGAGAAGTTGATTTGGATTTCTGTTTTTCCATTTCACCCAACAACTGCGTCGGTGCCATTTCATAATCAATATCTTCAATGCTAAACTCTTCTACTATACTTGGATCCAACTGAACAGAATTCTTATGTGATGGATCGCTGGAAATAGAAACATTCTCCGAAATCATTTTTGTAGATGTGTTATACTCTACTTCTCCATCTTCCTCCTTTACTAGGAATGCAGCTTTATCTTTTGTTACATTAATATTTGTGGAAGCTTCGCTGCTTGGTAAAATCTGTGTCGGTAGTAGGTCATCTACATGTTCCTCTTGTGTTTCTATTTTTATATCACTTTTAGGATTGTTTACTTCGATCACTTGAGTTGGTGCATTAAAATCTATATCTTCATTATCTTTACTTTGTCTACTTGAGGAATTTTGGTCCTTTAGACTTAATTTTTGTGTGGGTACGTCAAACAGATCGTACGAGTCGCGGCTCGATTCATTATCATTTTTACCTTCCTTACTTTCACTTTGTCGCGCTTCAAAGGACATAGATGCCGCTTGTTTTTCTTTTTTGGCAATTTCTGTAAAATGTCCGTCTTCGTCCGTATCAGAATCTTCACTGCTAGACTGACTTTTTGAAAATTTAATATCTTGACTACTATCCTGACTGTCAACCCGTACGTACCTCTGAAACACACCCTCTTGATCAGTGTCATCATCAGAGTCATCTTCTATCAGAGAAGCTTTGAACTTATAATTAACTCGTTGTGCAACATTTTTTAAAACGTCCTCCTCTTTAATTTTGACTTGTGTCGCTGCGTTGAATATATTTTCATCGCTACTACTGTTTTCAATTGTTTCATTATTGTTCATATTTGAAGACTTTACAGGGCTAGATGATTTTGATCTCGATTCGTTCACTGGATCATCGTCTCCAATGAAGTCCTCTAACAAATTCTGCGAACCGAGAAGGTTGCGGCTTCTGTCAAGTTCAGAGCACTCGTCGTCGAAATTCGTCGTTAGCGACAGGTGTAAATATTCTTGTGAACTTTTTTGGTCATTTTCTGATTGTTCAAAATTTGTGAAATCATCAGTCTTTATGACTTCAGCTTTTATGGACTGACCAGCCGTATTGGTACAAACTTTTTTTTCTTCAACTTTGTTCTTTTTCGCCTCTATACCAGAAATATTATTCTGCAATTCTGTATTTTCCGTTTCACATTTTTCCATAACCCCGGCACTTTTGTCGTCTGTAGCTGAAACATTTCGTGATTCTATCATGCTCGGCGTTTTCAAATCATGTATGCCTATATCATGCTGCGTTTCTACATCATGAATATCAGTTGCAACGTATTGAATCTCTGTGCCCTCTTCATGTTGCGTTTCCAAGTCATGAATATCAGTCTGATTATGAGAGTGTTTAAAGCTATTTAATGATATTTTTTGAGTTTCAACATCATGGATGTCAATGCTTGTTTCACTCTCTGACTCGAGCGTCTTCTGCGTTTCCATATCATGAATACTGACCCTTCGTCTGTCTGAATGTTCCTTTTCCAGCATGGAAGAGCTTCCAGAATCGTTAATGCTGTCATCGATGGAGGAGTCAGGAACGAAACTTTTACGGTTGCTGGCGGAGCTCCTTGAGGGTACAGATGGTCGTCGAAACACCGAATCTCCATTGTCGGCTTGAGTCGCAGGGATCATTGAAACGTTTCCTTCTGATGCGGACGAATTACGCTAAACAGAAACATTTAATATTGCAGCGCCTTAAATATTTTAACAGATAATGTTTTGTTTATATTAAAACGTGCATATATTGCATAAAGAAACATTGTCTCTGTGACAGACAAATGATAATTACCATAGATACATCAGGTGTTCCTAAGATGACTGTCTGCGGCTTCTTCAAACGAGTTGGCGCAGGGGTTTCCGGGACAAGAGATTCATCCATTGAACGGTTAACCGTATAAACAGCGCGTACCATACCGAATTCGATGACACTTCCACTTTTTAGTTCATAATATCGACCAGGTCTTAAAATAGACTGTAACAGAAATTGTATTATTGTATTTTATTTAAACATACAAAATAGACTGAAATTTTCAGGGAGTACTCGCTATTTTTGTCAAAGTCAACCTACGGATACTTATCGAGATTTTATTGCAATTTAATATTAAAAGTATTTGATAAAGTATTTATTATTACTATACCGTTAACATTTATGCAAATTGATTTTCTTAGTTCTATTATATATAATGATAAATAAAAAGGTATCTTCTTTTTTATGCTTTTATAGCTAATAACAATAAGTAAAAAGAATATTGTATATTAAAAGTAAAGTATATATTTTATTACACTGTTGAGTTTCGTTTTGTTCGAAGAATTTAAGTCGCAGAGCCATGTTTCTCCATTGGTAACTTCGATTTCTGCATGCTTCTTAGATACCGTCTGCAAATGAAATTAATTTCCTTATTTTATTTTATTCACTGTCGTTACTTCAACATTACGATATATAATTTCAACATCATATTGTAACGATTGTCAGACATATTCAGTTGTCTTTTGAAAATTTTAATTTTTACACTATCACTCGATGTATCATTAATTCTTTTCCGGTGCATTCTATCCTATTTGTACTAATTGTAAGTAGAATTTTAGGGCACCTACAATAATCGTAATGTATTATTACTAGATTGCGAGTACCTATAAATTTGTAGCCTATACAGATTTATAAAATACACGAGAGCTTCTGTGTACAAAAAATATTTAACTTTTCTTTTATTTTTACGAAATATGAAAACGTTATCACGACAATAGAGGAACTAAAAAAATAAAGATAAATTTATCTATTTCGATCATTGACGCATAAATCTTGGATCGTACGGGTTATTTTGATATCGTCCACACGTTTAAAATACTATATTTCGTATTAAATTAGATAAATTAGAATTTTAGAATTTCAGGGTGCAAATTAAATAAAAAGAATTATTTAAAAAAATACTTTTGTATAATGCGTTATTTATAATAGTGAATAATTTTTCTGAGAAATTTAAATAAAAACAAAATTTCACGTTTATTGCTTTTAATATTACCGATTTCCTTTTCCTGAGTTTTTTTCAACTCATAAATACTCATGCTTTTACCTATTTATCACACAAAGTATGTGTATAATTTATAGTCAAGAATGCCTTATCACATGAAATATTTCATCGCGTATACTTATTGCGACGAACACAATATCTACGAATTGACATAATCTAGTCGATACTATTAAATCTCCAAACTTTACTTTGACTATTTATCAAATATTAACAATACATTTACGATCAAATGTGGAAACTTGCATAAACATCTGTTAACTGTTTGAATCGAATCGAAGTACGTATAAATGGAATGTAATAAAACTCTTATTTCATTTTCAATTGAATAAAATCTTCGTTTGCTTAATGGAAAAGATTTCGATAAAACAATAACTTGAAAACACGAAGTGTAATTTTTTTATATGGCATTGTTATCGACAAGATTAATTTTGTACATGTTATTTCGACAGTTACAGACATATAGGTGTCATAATAAAATTAAATTTTCTTGAAAATTTCAAACGACCGAATATTGTTCTACATTTTTTACTTTTCTCATGTAGAATCACCGTTCCTTTCATGTAGAATCTTAACAATTGGACCATCAGTTCGAAAACCGCCTACATATTTATACGGAACCCATAAATTTGTTGATTATTCGACCATAAAAATCAGTGGTCCCGGGGAAACAGTAAATATTCTACAGACACAATATATGTAGATTTAGATTTAAACGATCAGATAGATACTGCACCACAGATATCCCGAGATCATCAATTCAAGATGAACTCAGTAAATATTAATTGACCTCGGATAGTTTATCTTATCGACTCGGTAATAAACAGAGAAATCTGTTTCAGCGTTTGAGGATGCTCTCTGTTTCGTTCAAGTGTAGAAAAACGATTCCACGTTAAAGCAAATCGTGACTTATCTCTGATTCTTTATGCTGTATGTCTACTTAAAAATAATCGAATTAAGGGTTATTTAGGTATTTAACTGAACAAATACAAGTTTTTGTTTGCAGTTAAAAATATAGATGTACGAATAAATTTATTTAAATAATTAATCTAATGTAGATATTTGAAGTAAGTAAAATATCACACAAGGAAGGGCAGAATTACTCTCAATCGTTGAATCTAGTGTGGACAAATAGCACAGTTGCACCGTTGATTGAGAGGTTTACGGTGATAATTATTGCAAAAAATGATAGTGGGGAGCGTAATCAGCTGATTTGATATGCGTGAGTACGCAATAAATAAAGCAGACTGCTCCGAGAGGACTTTACTCTGTTGAAAATGGCGAGACAGTGGCTTCTTCTGTTTCTCTTCGGATGCCTTACCCTTGGCTGGGCTTTGGAGGATGCACCGAGGGTCAAAACTCCTTTGGGCAGTGTCCGAGGCTACTACAAACTCTCTGCCAACGGAAGACAGTATGAAGCTTACGAGGGAATTCCTTACGCGTTGCCGCCGATCGGAAAACTTCGATTCAAAGTAATATAAACGTTGTTTTTCATACTCTAGATACTTAATTGCTCTAATATACAGGTATGAACTGTACGAAAGTCTTGGAATACAGAGATCATTTGCACCTACAGTTACAAATCGCAATGGTTTCACAATGAAAATTGTTAAATTACCATTTGATTAAATTAATTTTGTATTCTTGAAGTTTTTCTAATTATATAATAAACTTTTGATTAGCTATCGAAGTTGTGTTATCGGAGAACAGCAGCTGTATTGAACACGAGCGCAGAAAACGTGAATGTGTTTCTTTAGAAACTCTTGTGTTTTAAACTGATCTTTCCCGTGACAGTGATTGCTAAATAATTGTAATTAATTAGAAGGTCTGAAGAAATTTGACTGATTATTCAATAATGATTTTTTTAAGCCCCCTCACCGGCTACCGCCATGGATAGGTGAAATTCAGGCAACGAAATTCGGTTCTCAGTGCTTGCAATACGCTGATCTACCTGACAATGTAACTGAAAAAGTATTAGGTTCTGAAGACTGTCTATATCTAAACATATATGTACCGGTTCACGACAAAATGACTACCAAGCCATTGCCGGTTCTGTTTTGGATTCATGGAGGAGGCTTCACATTTGGTAGTGGAATGGACTATGGTCCTAAATTCCTTATGGACCATGATGTAGTATTTGTTACATTTAATTACCGCTTGGGAATATTAGGTATTTGAGTGCATTAATTGTAGTGTTTTACTTTCCAAAATTTTGCATTGAGGTCTCTTTTGATGCAAAAGTGAAATGTTTCTTGTAGGTTTCCTTAGTACAGAAGATGAAATAGTTCCTGGCAATATGGGACTGAAGGATCAAAGCATGGCTTTGAGGTGGGTTTCAGAAAATATTGAATGGTTCGGTGGTGATCCTAACAAGTTGACTTTAAGTGGTGTAAGTGCTGGTGGTGCAAGTGTTCATTACCATTATTTATCTCCCATGAGTGCTGGTCTTTTCCAAGGTATATCATGTGAATAATACAATAATTAAATGAACATTAAAATTTCTAATCTTTTTGAAAATTAGTCCTATTTTTACCAAATTGTTTTTTGTTATATTGTAGCTGGTATCTCAGCCAGTGGTACAGCATTTAACTGTTGGACACAAACTGAAAATCCTTTAGAAAAAGCTAAGCAATTAGCCACCCTTATGGGTTGCCCCATAGGTAATAGGAAGGAAATGGTACGCTGCTTGAGATATCGTCCATCCCAGGCTCTAATTGAAGCAACTCGTGAATTTATGGTAAGTACTCTCCACTCTCCACGTGTGTTTCGAATGAATTATATTGAATATAATGATATGATTTTAGAGGTTCTATTACAATCCATTCACACCATTCGGTCCAGTTGTTGAGAAATTTGGAGAGGAACCATTCATTGATCGCTCTCCTGTTGAAATTGTCAGTAGTGGTAATGTACAGGATGTTCCTTGGATTACTAGTGTGACCAGTGAAGAAGGATTGTACCCAATTGCAGGTACAAATAAGTACTAAGAAATTCATACAACTTTAACTTTGAATTATTTTTTAACTATTCCCATTTATAGATTTTATTGCTATACCAGAAGCCCTGAGAAAATTAGATGAAAATTGGGACCTCCTAGCTCCAATTTTCCTTGATTATAATTACACTTTGTCCAAGGAAAAGCATGTTGAAGTTGCTAGACTCATCAGACAACATTATCTCGGTACAAAAAAGATAGATGAGACAACAGCACATGCTTTCATAAAAATGACTGGAGATAGATTATTTGTTGTTGACAGTGAAAAAGCTGCCCGATTGCAAGCTAAAGTTAATAAACAACCTGTCTGGTATTACTATTATTCCTACAGGGCTGCAACAAGTTTAAGTGATTATTTAAGTGGTACTAAGACTAACTATGGTATGTTTCTTAAATCGAAATAATACTACCAATGAAAAAAGAGTTAAATGTGTTAAATATTCTATGTGTAGGTGTTAGCCATGGAGATGATGTACTTACTATTATTGATACTCCTTTCATGGATCCTACCACAACACAAAATGATCTTAAAATGCAAGATCTTTTAATCAATTCATGGGTATCATATGCAACTAATCAGTAAGTGACACATGTGACTATATCATAATCATTTATGAAACATATTTAATTCTATATGTGTATTCTTTTTATAATATAGTATTCCAAACATGGGTGATGTGAACTGGCCTAGAATAAATCCTAATGAGAAATCACTCCAATTTCTGCACATCGCAGGACCAGATAAAATTAATATGGATAGTGACGTTAACTTTGGAGACAAAGACTTCTGGAATTCTATAGATTTTAATGAAAATAAATTAAGCAATACAGCCACTGTACAAAACTTAAAAGAAGAATTATGAAGTCCCTTTAAATTGTTATAAAATTTTACATTTGTTTTATAAGTAATATTAATTAAACTTCAAAGAATTATACAACTATAATAAATGAATTTTATATTGATGTTTATTAGTCTAATTTATTTCTCCTTTCTTATTTATTTATTCCAATAAATTTAATTACTTCTGCTATAATACAATTATTATAATAAAATATTTCTACTTTAAAAGTTATTACTGAGTTACAAACACAAAAGTATATTTATATTTTTATTGTATTGCTGTATGCTATAACTGAATATTTCTGTTCCAAACATATTAAAATGATAAAAAAGAGAAAATTAAAACTTACTTGATCATTTAGTAGTATATTACATTCTGGGTGTCTACCAATTTTGTTAATTCCTTTCTTGATTGGATACGAATTAGAACCAATACTTAACGTTCCAATCTAAAATATTTAATATATGTACATTGTATAACATATTCTATAATTTAATTAAAGCATTAATATAATTTTAATATTTACTATAGCAATGATATAACAAAACATAGTTTATAATAATTATGTAAATAGTAAAACATTAAGTCGTCTACATAGAAAACATAGTATAAATAAGGATAAGTATTATGAAAAATAAAAAAAGTACTGAGAAAACAATAATATACTGAAAATATAATTACTTCTATTTCTTGTGTTGTTTCATGTTGCAGAGAATCTGAAAGTTTTTGAGTTGAAGTAAAAGTATCATCTTCATACACTTGCGTTGGTAAAATATCCATCGTTTACGATGTTCGATTAAACGACGCAGATTGGACACGATTCTTTATAATTTATTTTTTTTCTTTCAGAAAAATTAAACTTATATGACGTAACCTCATTTGGTACGCAACAGCTTCAAAAAATGACAAGTAGACGTTACGAGCAAACAAAAAATTCAATAAATAACGAGCACGGATATGCAACAATAAAGCAATAAAAGTTTACATTGTTAACAACACTGTTATATGAGAATAATTAATTATATATAACACGTCACACAACGGAGAAAACATTAGGACACAATTTCCCGCCATACGATTCATGGCACTGCTAGCTTTTAATAAAGAAATTCTCTATATCATACACATTAAGAACTCGTTACAATAAGCCCAGAAAACTTGCGATATTTAACATTTGAATTTTATCCTAAACCACAATATCAATTACAAGTTTGATTTTATAAATGTTTAATTCAATTTAATTTGATTCCATTTAATTTCATCTGAAGTACCATTTGTGTTCCAATGATTCTAGAAAACATCTAGTACTTTGTATATGCCACCTTTAGAGATTAATTATTATGGTGTTAGATTATTCATGACAATCTCCTGCAATTTTGTTATATAATAGTAATAACTAAAAATCGTTAATACAATTAGTGTTTAATGAAATTATTGTTATTCACAATATAATTTAAATCTGTGATAGCACCATCTATTAGGAAAAATGCAATATTAATTTCAACAGTTTCTGTTAAATAGCGCCCGGTATTATATCTGTATAGCGAGCTAATCATGATAAGGAAGAACTCTTCCTTATTTAAGAAAGATTCCACTTTTATCGATGTTTTAAGAACATTAGTACTGGATAAATTGTCAATTTTATAAATTGACCGTTCGTTGATAACAACAGTTATTCACTTGATTAAAATATCTCGAAGCGAACAGCACGTTAATTATTTCGTAGAAAAATATTATTTATTAATACGCATTTTTAGTTAATAAATATTATATTATATAGTTAGTAAACTATAAAAAAAGCTATATTCACGTATATTAAACAAATTTTATTATTATTCATATCCAGTCCCTTTAGGAATTATTAATATACGTTATAGTCCCAGAGGATGACAATAAATGGGTTCACATAATTGAAATCAATGCTTGAGCTAAATTTGTTTCATTTAATGTTTAACATAATTTATATTTAATATACTCTTCATTTTTTTTTAAATCGATATTGAATTTGTTAAAAAAACTTCTGAAAACTGGAACTTATAATAATGGAATTTTGTAATTGATTAATATAAAATATACTTTTCCAAAATTTTACTTGAAGTCTTCTTTAAATCAGTAAGAATTACGATTACTTTTCATACATATGTATATATGAGGATAGGTAACTTTGCATTGTTAAGGATGCGCAATAACACCATAACTGAATAAACAAACATTAATTGTTGCTTAAATCGTATTTTTTCGAACAAGTTAGCTAAACATAAGATAGATAAGGGGACCAGTATAGTAGCAGGACTTCTTCCGCACGTACATACCTAAATTTAGAAATAAAACGATTAAATTCTTTTTATCATCGTAACTGATGAAATCAATGAGCATTTTTACATTATCATTATACATTGTATCAGTATTACCCTCCTTTATCTATATTAAGTATGCAAATCGATCGCGATCTTATATAACAAGAAAATTGCAGAAATTCTACGTCAGTCCTCTTACCAAGTTTGAGGTAAGCATTTTGTTGCTATTTATTCATTGATAAAACACCAGATAAGATCGTGTACTCAGTTGTACAATATACTGCTGATAAAATGCGACATTACGTGTACCTAATTCTTCCTCTCTTCTCCGAATATTGTTGTTCGCGGTATTTTAATAACTGCTTGTGGAACAATGTATTACCATCATAAATCTTTGTATACGTGTGCCGAAACTTAGTTGTTTTGGGGAAGACAATAAAAGGCAGCTGTTATTCACAGAGTCGTTTAGTATTGAGACGGTTACGATGAAGGTATCAATTGTATTAGTTTTCCTGGGAATCATAAGTTTGTCTTCGCAGAAGCAGGAAGCACCAAGGGTTAATACGCCATTAGGTTCAATAACAGGAACACTTCGCAAGTCTCATAGTAACCATAAATATGAGTCCTATGAGGGTATCCCCTATGCGAGACCCCCTGTTAAAAGTCTTCGGTTTCGAGTACGTACATCAAATATTTAATCAATCAGTGCTATTTGTGACACAAGTAGATAATTTGAATATACAGAAATCAATTTGAAGATACAGCAAACGACAAATTCGTGAAAATGGCAGAAAGTATTTGTTAAAATATTATAAAACGTTTGTAAACACATTAAATATTCTCGCCATTATTGTACTTTGTTGCAATAATTTTGTATTTTATAGCAAAGTCATAATAATATTCTAATAATATTTTTATTATATTCTGCAGCCACCTAAACCGGCTAAAAGATGGGAGCACGAATTGTTTGCTACAAAGAAGGGCCCAGTTTGCATGCAATACTTAATGCCATCGCAAAACGGGAGTAGAGTTATAGGAGAGGAGGATTGCCTATATCTAAATATCTACACGCCTCATAGAGGAAATCGTAAACCATTGTTGCCAGTGATGTTTTGGATCCACGGTGGTGCTTTCCAGTTTGGTAGTGGGAACGAAGCAGACGAGACCCGTTTGATGGATCGTAAAATAGTGCTGGTTACTATTAATTACCGTTTGGGGCCATTTGGTAAGCTTATAATTTACGATGATTTATAGGAAAGGAAATAAGAAGCTTTTTTTATCAAGCGATTCCTTAATATAACTGAAAATGTAACATCACGAGATTTCATTACAATATTTATTATATTACATACATATCTATGGTAACACTTATATCTATGGTCGATCTATAATGTTACAATATATATATATCACAAAAGGAATTTTTTTAAGGGTTCCTTAGTACGGGCGATCGCGTAGTGCTCGGGAATATGGGTTTAAAGGATCAGAACGTAGCTTTGCGATGGGTGTCGGACAATATTGCATACTTCGGCGGAGATCCTAAAAGTGTTACTATTTTCGGCGTGAGTGCTGGTGCATCAAGTGTCCATTATCATTACATGTCAACAGCCAGTGCCGGACTCTTCCAAAGTATGTTGTTATAAAATGATTTTTAAAATCTTAACAAACCGTACGATAATCTTTAAATAATTTTTCATTTGTACTTTTATTATATAGGAGGAATATCGATAAGTGGTGTTGCTCTTGATCCCTGGTCACAAAATAAGCGCGCACCAGAACGAGCTAAAAAATTAGGTGCTTTAATGGATTGCCCGACGCATTCGTCCGAAAAAATGGTGGAATGCTTGCGTAACCGACCAGCACACCTTATTTCAGAAGCCGTGGGTGATTTTATGGTAAATTTTATAAAAATCTAATTATAATTGTATATTTTATGTGTTAAATCATTTGTGCGTGTTTTGGCGAAGATTTAACATAGAATACAGTCTTCTAAATAAATTGATTCTTGAATAGAGAGACGATGAAAAGGATAATTCTTTAAAAAATGTATCTTCTGCACAAATAAATTGTTTCAATATAATTCACAGGTTTGGCTGTACAATCCTTCTACGCCTTTCGCACCAGTTATAGAACGGCAGAAGTGTCCACGCCCCTTTATAAAAGCTTCTCCCATTGAGATCATTACTAAAGGCGAGGTGCTGGACGTCCCTTGGATTTCGGGAGTCGTCTCCGAGGAAGGATTGTATCCTGCAGCAGGTATTTCATCTTCGTGATGAAACCCGTAATCTTATCTTATTGTTGTCGTCAAAGAGAGATTTTGTTTGTACAGAATTCATAGCAGACGAAAAACTGTTGAGGCAGTTAAACGACAATTGGGACAATATTGCACCGTATTTGCTCGATTACAACGACACGATTCCGCTTAGTCGACACAAGGAAGTGGCGGAAAAAGCCCGGAAGCATTATTTGGGATCAAAAGAGATTTCCAGTGACACGGCGCTACCTCTGACACACATGATCGGCGATAGGCTGTTTGCCGTTGACTTTGAGAAAGCTGTCAGAGCACAGGCGAAAGTCAACAAGAGCCCTGTGTGGACTTACTACTACACGTACAGAGCCACGCACAGTCTGAGCGAGTCATTAAGTCACTCGAATAAAAATTTCGGTATTTATTCAGAATCTGTTGTTGTTTAAGTATTTAACACTGAAACTACCGGTCAGTTAAATTGACTTTTTGAAATTCCTCTATAGAAACTCGAAGAGTGCATCTATCAATTCTTTAATCAATTTCTTTAATAATTTCTTAGAGAAACATCTGTTATCTTTCTAATAATTGCAAAAATAAGACATTAGGAATGGGTCATTTTAATCTGTCTGGTAGTTTTAGCGTTAAATTCTTTAATTGTGAAGTGACTTTAATGTGTTTATTTTTTATCAGGTGTCAGTCATACTGATGACATTTATCTCGTCATTAATCCCGCACTAGCGAACACTAAAAATTTCCAAGACATTAGGATGCAAAAGCGGCTGATTGATTTTTACACTTCTTTTGCTATTAAAGGGTACGTCGTGTATCATATTTGTTAAAACTACATTTAGTGTCTAATTATGAGGATTTTCAATTATCCATTCACTTGAATAATACACGATATGTATAATTTTAGCGTGCCAAAGATTGGGACTAAGTGGAGAGAATTTGAACCCGAAGAGGAAAGGTTCCGGTATTTGCGTATAAGTGGTCCAAGAAACATAAGCATGTCTTGTAGCAAAAATTTCGGGCAAAAGGACTTTTGGAACACGATTGATTTTGACGAGAATAAACTTTAATATTGTATTACAACTGACGTTTCTTGTTTATTGACGTTAGAAGTATAATAATCAAATAACTGTGTGCCTTTTAGATTATAGCTGCATGTGAAAAGTACAAAGAACGCATACCCTTTTTTACCACTTTCTTAATTATACCACTTTTAAATTTCTATTAAGACATATCGTCGTCTCGATGAACGGAAATTTTTGTCCTCGCGAGGATAGAAGAGCATGGGTTAAAACAGAATATGCAGGCGTGACATACAAAATCGTTTATTCATATAAAAGGACACTTTATACTAGCACGTACTGTCAAAAAACTAGCCTACTTCCATACAGTCGGTATCACCGAGAATATTCCCGGCACGCTCGTTTCTTCGTGTATCACATATTATCATTATACGCGGCAAACGATAACGGATTAGTATGCTGAGAACAAAAAAAGAAGAGGGTGTAACTCTTACTGCGGTCGTAGATCGAGTATTAAGAAGAATGAAAGGAAAGAAGAAGAAGAAAATGGAAAACGGAAGAAAGAAACTTCGGAAAAATGGATCCATCACGAGCATCGAGTATATTCGCGTACTGAGCGCCATATTGGATTCGCTATTCACAGCATGATCAATTTTAATCCGTTCTTCTTGATCCGCACAGTATTAAATTATTTCGCCGGGGGACACTGTTGCTCGAAGACTATTGGCACCAGATGAAAATTGGTCATTCTGTGCATAAATATTACATACGTGTGTTCATGTATATTTATACTTTATATATTATATTTATATAAAGTGTATCATCTTTATATAAATATCATATCTCGCATTGAAGTCGCGTGGATCGCCGTGTTGGCAAGGGGAACGGAATAATTTCATCAACACGGGACCCGTTGTGCGTTCCATCGTTATTAATTACATGCATCCTATGTAGTCACCATAATTAATACATCTTACGCTAGTGTGTTACATGTATATCATATAAACGTAGCGGCGTAACATTCTTCGATACTCGATTACTTTCAGTTTACACTATCGCTTATGAGCGGTCTGCGGGTATTACGATATAAATACATATTTAGGCTCTCGACTAATCGCCGGCCATCGTTAGCCTGGGAAGAACCGATCCGATCAAGTAAGTAAGTACCTAATCCCGATCCAGTCGATCGAATGGAAGTGCACGATTAACGTTGTTCGCGGCTGTTCGCGAATCGGGGAAGCCCTTTCGTGTTGGTAACTTGAATGACGGTAACGATTTCTAGCGTATCGTTACAAAAAGGAGACCGTATCCGGTTTCGAGAACAGGAATTCTGATATTTTTGCACGCGTCATTTAGAAGTAACCGAGTTACTTTACGGGGTGGGCGGAAATGTACAAAGGTCAGCTGGTTTCGGCGTGTTCGTTGGACAGAGAATGACTGTATCGATGATTAAAAAGAAAATGTGCTACAAATGCTACGGTAGAATCATCTTCGAAACTTTCTAACGGATCTCGGACGTCACCAACCGATTCGGCTGAACGCGAGGAAGTATCGACCTCGATCAAATTGAATTAGAAGAAGAAAAGAAAACAATATTA